GTTTCCAATTTTTAAATTTTAAATTCCAATTTTTCTTATTTGATTTTTTTTTTTAATTTAAGGAAAAGGATTTAAAATATGCCTTATTCCTACTATAAGCTGCACTTTTCTTTCTTTTTTTTTGTGTTTGATGTGATCTGCAGTTAATCTCCATTAGATGTAGATGTAAAACATGCTAGATTGATATCCGCATGGTGCTTGCCCATGATCACATGGGCTGCAGACTGGTATAACTGTAATGCATTGCCTTTCATCAAATCCACATTGTCAGTATTAATAAAATGATTGCCATGCGCATATTCCGTGTTACAAAGATACAGGCACGTGTCCATTTCCGAAACGGATAAATGCTTTGGAAACTTGACTTCAAAAAAAAGAATGTTTAGACACCAAAAAATGTCCTTACCATTTGGAAGCTTTCTTTTTGGATGTCTTTTGGACCATTGGACAAACAGCTAGGGTGCATGTTGGTCTTTATGCAACCTCTTTTTCCTAATTTTATTTCTAGGTAGGCGTGCTTTCGGAATTGTGTCTAAGAACCACACACTTCTTTCTAATTTTGTTTTTAAATATGTTTGATCCTGAGAATTATTGAGCTTAGTGGCAATCCTAGAAGTTCCACACTCTTTATCAAATGAGCTCAAGCAACCAATCCCAAGCACAATAGTACCTACTGTTGACAAAGAAGGCAAGATGAATGACTTCCCTATCATTCATTCTCTAAGAAGATGAAGCATCTTGACTAATTGTAACCATTTTGCTCAAAGCCATTATTAGTTCTTCCATATCTGTCCCATAATTCACAAATAAATTTGCAATTTACTGTTAATTGGCGAATCAATTTCTTTTTTAAGGTTCAGACTACTCGATAATGGTTCACAACCATTCCGGAAATTGATTTAATTTCAGCAATCTTATGGTGAGTTTCAGTAGTTTGGGCGTAAGATGCAATGAAATTTACTCCAATTAAATGTTAAACATGGGACGGACCTTGCAACATCAAAACAAGAATGGCATCATCAAAAGCGTGGATATTGCTAGGTATTGCTCAATCACTTTCATGTTATGCACGGAGAATTTAACAAGGTGGGAAATTATAAATGGAATTTCTAGCTGTTTAGCATTGGTACATAACGAATCGTTGTTAGTGGATTCCGTTTCCTCTTCGAAGCCCAGGTACGGAACCTTTTCATATATGTGAACCCACCAGCTGTGAATCCCATTCATTGTTGAACATCAGGTTTGTCTTATAACGCACATTCTTCTAATAGGGTGAGAAGTGATGTGCTTTGTACATGGCAAGGTTCATACCAATTTAACTTTAGGCATATCAAACTAGCCGTGTGTTCAATAATGTCCGCAGAAGTACTTGCACAATCTCCTCACGCTAATTAGAAAATAAGTAATAACAAAATTAAATCTATGTTGAGTATGGTTGTAGACCTAGAAGCAATGTTACCTAGACACGGCATTATTTCTTTAGCACACCTCAAGATGCATCTTAAAATATGTTTTTGGTTGAGCCCTCCGATTGGAACTCGTGCTCCCGAATCTACCACTGCAAGTGTTATGTGGTAGAGGTATAAAATACATAAATCTTTTCGAGGAATATCAGAAAATCCTCTTTGATTTTCAATTTGTAAATGTAATACCATATGTTTTACCCTTACCCATTTCTTTTATATAGTGAACATTGCATCTTGATTTTACTTTTTCTTCTATATCTGATTAACCTCAAAATTTAAGCATCTATACTTTCCATCATAATACACTTGTAAACATAATAAAAAATATAATTAAATTAAATGAAAATAACAACAACAACAAAAAATAAATAAATCAAAATTTAAAAGTATTTTGATCATTTTATTTATATATTTTTTAAAACAAATGTGTGATGATAAGAAGTATCAACTCAACCAATTTAAGCTTAATCTGACACTAGAAACTAAAATTGAAATTAAAATACAATATACATAGTAAAAAAGTACAACTCGAGAGTAAATTATAAAATATATAGGATTAGTTTTAAATTTTAATAATATAATGGGATTTTTTTTGGGAAATATACTACAAGATTATATGGTAGAATATAAAATAAACAAATCTTTTATTATACATCAATAAGAGAGATTTTGAAAATTTAAAATAACATGAGATGCCATCCCCGAGGTTCGAACATAGTTAGCAAGTCGGGGAATAATAAAATATTGGCCGACCAAAATATTGGTAACATATCGGTTTTATTTTAAAAAGTTGGAGGAAAAAATAGAGTTAAAAATACATATCGCCAAAAAATAACGTACACTACAGAATCGTGAATATTTCGGATTTGGTTCAAAAAACATAGTAAAAGAATCAGCTATGTAAAGATGACAGAATATAGGATTATCATTTGCAGCTACGGTATAGATATACTAAAGTAATTAAACAATAATTTTATAGCCTTACTATTGTCATTAGAGTATCACTTAACAATTTTTTGTTGAAACTTTCAATAAATCCAACAATAATGCTTACTTTGTTGTCACATCACAAAACATATCGTAGATTTATTGGAAACACAAAATTAAACAACAACAACAATACTAAACACAATAACTAATCAACAAATAACCAAGATCGCGGATTACTTTTTAAAGAAAGAAAACAAAAAATGCCCTCAATATAAGATTGCAACTAATTAAAAGAAGACGCAAAGACCCAAATATGTAAAATAGTGGTCCATCCAAAATGCTATGTTGTATACACCAATAAAATACAAAAATAAAAAATCAGATATGAAATTAATCAAACTTCTCTATGCATAAAAAAAATAAAATGCTTAAGAAAATTTGAATCTCGTACTGAATTCCTAGCTACCTAAATTTTTAATATCATTGAATCACTTTCTTGCTTTTTATAGGGATGCTATGGGTTTAACGAAAATAAAATAGATTTTTCATTAGATTACTCTTCTTCTAATTCATTCTATTATTCTAATTTTTTTTAAGGAATATATTGCTTCTATTTTTTCGTACACTTTTTTAAGGGAACTCATTGGTGAAATTTTTTATCGAATGTTTTGTGGAATTATGTTTCTTAATTTACTCCCACAATTAATGTTTTATCTTCAAACCAAATATCAATAATAGTAAGTTAATTAAGAAATAAAGTTATAGGGAAGAAGTTTTCTGAAAATTTCTTTTGAAAAAAATAAAATATAGCTTTATATCGGTTCTATTAAAAAAAATGATCTTTTGAAAAATCCGGAGTTCTAAACATATTTCAAAAAATTGGCGATCTAAATCGTGTTTTAATAAGAGACTTGCTATCTATGGGTTCGAATTGCTGACCCTCCCATCCAAGGTGCAGTAACCTCTACCACTACGAATTTTGTAAGTTCCCATAGAATGGATCAAAATATGCCATATAACTACTTTTTGATGTAAAATAATCTGTACAAGAATGTCTTGCAGTACCAACATATTGGCATGAAGCAGTCAACACGTGTATACCGACACTGTTGTTGGTGTTTATGTAACACCAAATATAATCGAACCTTTTTCATCCAAGGTTTTCAACTTAACCACAGTCAATTGAGCTCAAATTTGCCAGTATCTATGAAAATTTATTATGTGGAAAATAATAGCTGTTGATGCTATCTTTAGAAGGATTGAAGTCATCGCTAATTGTTTGGTGTGTTAAAGGCGTTGTTTAAAAAATTTATATTAATTAAATTTAAGACATATGTTGGCATGTGCATTGAAAATGATGAGAATAAAGTCAGGACCAAACCGGTTCCAGATTATGTAAGTCCAGGCCCGGTTCCCCCCAATATCTTTTAAGCATATCTAATAATTTTTTAGACCCCCAAAATCCCCAACTCATAAACACCTATTTTAATTTTCAGTTAATTTTATTTTTAAATATTTTTTCTGGATCACTGATTGGATCAATCCATACCAATCCGGATCACTGGATCATGGATATTTAGGGTGAACGATCCATCTCACCATTCTGGGTTTTGAGAAGGAAAAAAAGGAAAACTATTGTGAACCTAAATAAAATACAGTTGGGAAGTTACAGGAATGAAATAGCCGATTATCAAACTTCCTACTTTCTAGGAATTTAATTTCCAAACCAAAACTCAAAATCTCATCTTCAATATTTGCTATTCTTAGAAAGACAAGACTCAAAGATCAAGACTTGTACCATAGACTCCTACTTTCTAGTTTCTAGGAGTGCTTGTCAGTGTTACGCAAGCACGGGCACAAGGGTGAGTGTTTAACATGTATCTAAAGTATCTGGTGCTTTGAGCAATAAAGCCAATGCAGCAACACATATTCACACAAATATTATTTTATATTAAAAATAGGTTAATAAAATATAATTTTCAGTTACTTTACACATGAACTTATCATTTTCACAACGATAGAGCAGACTGCCACTTATTGAGGAGCCTAGAGTTCGAACCTCAAGAATTACGTTTTATGTTATCATGTATATCAATACTTTTAAGTTTACATTAAGATTTGCATATCCTGTAGACTTTCACATGACTTCAAATCATGGGTTCAAATTCTTAAATGTTTTGTTCATAACTCAAATCATGGGTTCAAATTCGTAAATGTTTTGTTCATAACTCAAATCATGGGTTCAAATTCGTAAATGTTTTGTTCATAACATGGCTAACAGTGTTGACATGTGTCAGCACACGACATAATAACATAATGACACGTCTAAGTCACATTGATGGTCGTTAAAGTGCAAATGACACCTATTAGGAATAGAGAGATATTATCGGGGAGGGGAAGGGGGGGGCGAGAGAGAAGAGAGGGTATTAAGAATGAATTTGTACTATAGAGGGGGGGGGAGAGAGAGAAGAGAGAGGGTTTTAAGAATGAATTTGTACTATAGAGGGGGGGAGAGAGAGAGTTTTAAGACTGAATTGTCCTATAGAGGGGGAGAGAGATGGGAAGGAAGAACGAGCCTGAGCAATCTGAAAGTCATGCTCCTACCTTTTTCTGCCATTATAGAAGATAGACCAATTTGATATAATTGTTTACTTGTCAGGTTGTGTTCATTGTGGACAGTGAGAAAATCTAGCTGATTATGAAACTTGCAAGAAGAAAATTTTCCACTTCCTGTTCTTGGAGGTCAACATATAATATTCTGCACTCAAATCATGGCCATCAAATTTATTATAAGATCTCAATCTAATGAAAAGCGGCTGAAAAAACTGCAGATTAAATGTTTGAATATAAGAAATGCATGAATATAACAAACAAGAAAATTTTGTGAATATAACACATGTGTTTTGTGATGCTAATGCTAGCAGTAAATGGAATTTGCTTAAGAAATTGAAGAAATAATCAAATTTCTTTGTGCATGTACTAGTACATTTCTGGTTTTGAATTATAGTTCATAACTTTAACTTACCTAACATATCAAGGATATATCTGGGAAGAAAATCAAAGAATCCACTAGAAAATGGTTCACACGTCAACATACCTAACATGCCTAGGACATATCTGGGAAGAAAATCAAGAATCCACTAGAAAATGGTTCACACTTAGTTATGCCCTAAGCTCCTCCTACCCACTACGATTAGCGTTCTGGACATAGTTATTGGAATCTCTCACCTCAAGAGGCGATTCTACTTCATAATTCTAATTCAGCAATTCTATCAAGGAATTTTCATAGAACCCAATTCCATAAATTTTGGAATCTCGATTCCACATTTATTAAATCTTGATTCGATTTTTTTGGAATTTAGATTCCACAACACCAAATATTGTGGTTTATAGGTGCACAAAACTGTGATTTGATTAACATGGAATCTCACTTCCAACTCTACAGAATCTTGATCCAATTTTTTGGAATCACATACAAAGCAGTCATCATGTCACATATGCTGCATATTGTAAAATAAATTCAGGGACACTTACAAAACTTGCTTTTCTGCTGGTGCTAAAACTTGCCGACTACTATGAGAATCCGGAAAGAGTATTGGGTTCAATTTAATTTCCACAGATTACAATAAAGATCATCATAGAGACAAACAAAGCCTCATTTCAAGTACATTATATATATATGGAAAACTCTTCCCAACGCCTATAGGCGGAAATGAACAGTGATTCGCCTACCCTCATCACCATCCAAACTTCATCGCACAGTCACAGTTGTCCGGTAGTGTTTCAATTTTCATTTTTTTTCTACAAATCCAAATTACTTGAAATTTGGAGCATGCGTACATCTTTGTGAGGCGCACCTACTAAAAATATAGAAAAAATAATTCACAAAATATAAATTGACCAAATATCCCCAAAGAATTATTTGGGTGTTTAATCAATTTATATTTTACAAATTATTATTTTTATATTTTATTAAGTGCAGCTCACTAAGATATACACATGCTCCAAATTTCAGATCATTCTGAATAATAAAAAAACAATGAAAATTGAAACACTACCTGACAACTGTGACCGTGCGATGAAGTTTGGATGGTGATGAGGGTAGGCGAAATCACTGTTCATTTTCACCTATAGGTATTTTGTAATATCTTCCTATATATATATATCAAAAACAAAATCTCACTTTCAAGTATGAATAAGATAATATTTGTATGTTTCATAAACACAAATACGACTTCCCAATGGACTAGTGAAACATTATGCTATTTCATACTCATTGTTAAAGAACTCTATGGCTGTCTGTGAACTGTAATTAACATCATTCCTAAATTCTGAGAAACCAAAATGGATATATTAATCTTTATTCAATCTAGAACCTCAGTAAGGCCATTCAATACATCAATTTCAATGCTAGGAGAATCCTTGTTTAGGACCATTAAGGATCTTGATTACAATAGTAGGGGAACCCTAGCTAGGCATACTCAATAAATAAATTCAATTACTTAAAGAGACTATTGCTTAAGAATAGAACCTCAAATCTCTTGCCCTATGAAACCTGTTTCTTGTTGTTCCCTGTTGTGGTTCGAAGTTGGGTGATTCCATAAGGGCTCATTTGGTTCTTATGAAAACTTGCATCATGAAGCAACTTTCATATGAAACATACAGTTACCCACGTTTGGTTAATGCGTAAAATCAATGAAAACTTGTCCCATAGGAAAAGGTTTTACCACCACAAGGAGCAAATCATATGAACAGAAATCCCCACCCCACAAGGTGAGGTGTAAGTTGCCAGGGATTCATTCCTCGGATGGACCCCAAACAATATTTTCATTTGGGTTTACCGCAAGGGGCTGGAGCCACAAAAAAGGGCACAAAAAACAAAACCCTCACACCTCTCTCAAAGCCCTGCTTTCTCACAAAACCCTCGGCCCTCTCTTACAACCCTCTGTGACCTGCCTTCTCACAAAGCCCTGCCCCTCTTTCAAAGCTCTGCCTTCTCATAAAGCCCTGCCCCTCTCTCAAAGCCATGCCTTCTCTCTCACAAAGCCTCCCTCACCACTCTCTCTCAACCCTCTGCATTCTCTCTCACAAACCCACAAGCAAAGATCCATTTACAAGCCACATAAAAGATACCTCATCCTTCTTCAAGCGAGGATCCATTTGCAAGCTTTCATCTTCTTTAACAAGGTAAATTTGTTTTTTTTTTTGCTGGTATTCTTTTATATTTTTTTGCTAGTTTTTCTTCATCATAGTGTAAAGATTCTTCACCAAACAAAATAGGGTTTCCCTCATACGAACCCCCATACAAAATACCTCTTCTTCTTCAACAAGGGTATGAATTTTATTCTAGTGATCTTCCTGGTTTTTCCCTCTAAATGGTGGTCTTTTTCATCACCGAATGTAAATTTTTTTTCTATGATTTCCTCATGGAAATTTGTTGCGTTTTTTTTTTTGGCTTATTTTACGGGGTATAGAAGCACAATTTATGGGTTTTTTTTTTAGCTATATTTTTTTTTTTTCTTTTTTTTTTTTTATTTCTTGCTGATTTTTGGTTGTTCCATAGAATCCACTTTTGTGATTTTTACAGTGGGGTTTGTTCATCATCATGAAATGGAATTTTTGTTTTTCATTTTTATCCTAAAACTAGAAAGATTCTACCCAAATGCTTCCTGAGTATTTTTTTGGTCTCTTCAATCCCTTGAAAGGATAAATAACATGGTGTTTGTATGCGCAACCCAAATGTGGAAATCAAAATTACAGAATGCCATACTCTCTAGTTGGAAGTTTAAATACAGTGCGATACTCTAGTTAGAAGTTTAAATATAGTGAGACATAATTGTGGGTGTTTGAAGTTTAAATATAGGGTGCAGTTAGCATAAGGCATTATGTGATTTTTATAGTGGGGCTTGCTCATCGTCACGAAATTGCACAATTAGTTTGTTGAATTTTATTTTTTTTTCAATTTTATCCTAAACCAGAAAGATTCTACTAGAATGCTTCATGAGTAAATTTCCCATGAATTTTGAAGCCACGTTTTGAATGCTTTTCTCTTTAGAAGAATATGGATTATTTTCCATTTCTTTTTTGCTGATATGCTTTCTGATTATGATCTCATAATAAACAGTTTGATAGTGACATAATTATCTTGCTTTGTTGGATATTGATGCCCTTTTTCATTTCTTTATTTGTTAATGCTTATTTGAAGGGCATAAACTTAGATATGCAATGCTGGTTTTTAATTTTTAGAAATCTATCTATATTCTTGAAATAATTTTTTTTTACATCAAATGTTGTACCAGGCGTTTGAAAAATTGCAAAAGAGTAAAAATATCAATGCTAACTTTTATGCTATTAAAAGGAGGGTCTACCTTCTCTATTTTATTTTATGTTATTAGATGTTCATAAGCTACATGTGTTTAGTCTTGACTAGATGCCCTACTAGTTGTTAGCATTATCAACAACACTAATCCATGCAAAAGAATCTTCACTACATGCCTTGATAGCTGTTACCATTATATATGATTTCTTGTGAGAGTCAAAATGGAGTTTTTCAATAAAAGGAAAAATAAATTTTAGTTAAAAAACACTCAAAAAACAGTTCAAGGGGAGAATTGTTCAAATTAATTCTTCAAGTTAATTTTTTATTCTTTTTGCATAACCATCCAAAATACATATGGATATTTTATACCCCAACCCTTATGTTTAATACCAATATAGAAAACAATACTCATTGAATCTTTTTAAAAACTTTAGTAGATCCTAAAAAAAAATGTGGCTAGCTCTACCTGTTTCCCTTTTAAGTATGGATTCTCAGCCTCCCCTCTTAAGACACCGAGCCCGACAAGAAAGTCAAAAACTACTATTGGACCCTCAGTCGAGATAACTTCTTTCTTGATGTAATGGTAAACTAGGTCAAAGGAAAAGCAAAAAATTCAAGGAAATTTCACCCCAAATGCTTGGAAATATATGGTAAACGCAATGTAAGATGAGTACAAGGATGGCTTTGATAAGGAACGACTAAGGAATAGATTGAGGACACTAAAGACCAAATTTCAACATGTTAGATCCCTCTTCCAAGGTAAATCTGGCTTTGGTTGGAATGATGCCAAAAAGCTGGTCACAGTAGAGGAGGTTGTTTCGACCAAATGGCAAGCAGTGAGTCTACAACACTAATCTTCTAAGCAAGTCAATTGTATTCATATTTATAAATGTTTAGGTTCATAACACATTCTTACTGCTACATTTGCAGTGCCACAAATGGGTATCCAGGATTAGGAAAACTCATGTGCGCAGATATAACGACATGGACCTATGTTTTGGAGATTCAACTGCAGATGGAAATAACAGTCGCACTGGATATGATTCTCCTTTGTAGGAGAGCACCATACAAGTAGAGGATAATGCTCCAAACGAAGAGATTCTTGGCATGTCTGACGGCTTCTTAGGTGGAGGACGTGAATGCATAATCCAGTTCAGGTGGCAATGTGAAGACTCCAACATCCACTAGGAAGCCCAAAAGCTTTGCTAGTTCACATCTCGTAAAGGGAAGCGACCTATTGCTTTCAATCATGCATACGAGACACTTGATAAGGTGGTTGAGGCAGTCTGCCAAATGAGCGCCACTACCCCTAACTCTGCTTCTACCCCCGCCACTACTTCTATCATTACCCATAGTGCATATGGTGAAGAATTCACTGCTGAAGTAGCTTACAAGGCTGCAGATATCTCCCTGCAACCTGGGAGAGAAAACATGTTTTT